GCTGCAACCAAGGGCTCACACGTAAGGACACATGTGAGGGTGGCGCAGGGCAGGTGGTGGTCCGCTCTGGTGTCCACGGAGTTGCTATGAGTTGGAACCGACGCAAGGGCTCCTGACGACGAAGACGCTGCGCTTTCTGACCACGTCTCTGGGAACTCAAAGGGAGAGGTTCATGGAAATGCTTGCACCTCCTTCTAATTGGAGGCCTGAAGATACAGTTTGATGGATGGGGACTGGGATGAGCTAGAAAGTCAAGTGAGGCTAACTTTAATGAAAGAGCAGTCTGAGAGCGGGGTACACTTGATTGAAGCTGAGGTACCCTGTACTAATAGTAAGCTCTAGAGGGGTCTAGACTTACCTGAGAGGACTGCTGATCCGCCTCAACTGGTAAACTTTTCAGATGAAGCAACAGCACAAGGAGATGACAGTGACTCGTCAAAAGAAAAGCCAATGAGAAGAATCCACATTTCCTGATTTCAGGTTGCTTCCTGCATGCAGGCTGTCTGTGTAGGCGCTAAACCTACACACAGTAGGGAAGCCAAAGAGAATCCCACGACAAACCCTGCTGAATTGCTAGACAAATGGCTTAGGAGCAGAGCAGTAAAGCAGTGTTTCCCAAAGTGGGCAATAAGTAGGGGGTGGGGTGAGAGGGAGTTGCTGTAAAAGCAGATACTTATACTTTATCCTCTCTTATAGGTTAAAGCACAAAAGGTTTTCATTGCCAGCGGGGTACTGAGTAAAAAAGAAAAAAAAAAATCCTGAAAAGAGGGTGGTAAGCCAAACAAGTTTGAGGACGTATGTGTTAAAGGACGCAAAAGACTAACGCTCTTCATCACCTGCCTTTACAGCTGTAATGCTGATTCGAATCACACTCTCAGACGATGTCCATTGGCCAACAATGTAGAAGACTCTGGCCCCAAAGGAAGACTTACAACTCCTTTTGGTATGTTTGCCAGTGAGTGAAACAATGATAAAAAAATGACCAGATAGCTTTTGGCTGACAAGAAACATAAGGCATGGCCAAAGGTCACTGAAGTGAGTTTTTATTCCCATGGCATCTTGGTCTTCTCTGGTTAGGATTATTCATGCAACAGACACGTTTTAAGCAACGAATAGATATAATTTAAGGCCACACACCCATTTGGCAACGAGAGACACAAAGAACAAGTAATAGGGTGTGTTGTCTGTATTTCAAGAAGAAAGGAGCCAGGAAGGCAGACTAAGAGAAAGAGAGGGGGCAAGGAGAGGGGGGCATGAAAGAGGAAGGATGGTTTTCGTAGTGGGGTAAGATGAGAAGGGCATGGTGGTACAGGGATGAGAGGACACGTACAGCGATGACATGGATGACATAGGACATGATGAGCCATGTAGGGGGAAAGTGACCCTACTGGTGCCCAGCGTCTGTTTACCTTGGCGATGCAGAACAAGGCTGGGTAAACAGCTGGGTTGGGATAAGAGTGTGGAGGGCCCTGAATACCAGGCTCTGCATTGGATGAGGCTCCAGGAGTGAGCGGGGAGTCACCTGATGATCTCTGAGCAAGGAACGTCTTCAGACACCAGGAGATGTGTGCAGATGGAAGAGGCAAGTCAAAGCAGTAGCAGCAATGAGGTGCTGACTGCGATCATCTTACTAATTAATGACTTCTTTTAGACCTTGGATGGTGACAGTGGGACTGGAAAGAAGGGATGCGATAGCTAAGTGATCTTGAAGTATGTCTGATTGACAGAGAAGTGAAATCATCTCCCTCCATTACTGGGAGCCCTCTACCTAGTAAGTATTGCCATTGTCATTTGAGAACACAAAGTATTAAAGAGGTATAATTTGAACTCTGAAGCAGCAGCTAAGAAGGGGGTCTTCCTTCAGGCCTTGCATACCTCAATATCCATCTCAAAAGCCTGCCTTTCCACCAGAGGAGAAAAAAACCTACAACTGTGTCCAAACCTGTCCTCAATAGGAACCACCTACTGTGACAACAGCTCACACAAGTGAGGGAAAAGGTCAAATTAGAGAGTTCTCACTTAGAATGCTTCCCACAGCATCCACGCAGAACAACTTATGCTTCAAGTCCCTTCCTGCTTATTTTCTCTAAGGCACATGGTGCGAAAGGCAGGGCTTACTGGACCCATTTCACAGAAGACCCTTAACAAGCTTGCCCAGGGCAATGCACAACCTCCCAGGGTCAGTCTGCTGACCCCATGTGCGGGACTCTTAACCACCACACCTTGCACCCACCCCCAGTGCTACTTGGTTGGAGTGAAAGCCCTGGTCTCAGCTCTGCTGTTGGGAAGTGCTGCTGAGTGCACTGCCACTCGAGCGAGCCCATGGGCCCCGGCGGGGCTTCTAGCCTGTCATCTTTACTGGGGTCGCCCACTTGGTCTCGCTCCCATGGGGCTACTCAAGGGGTTTGAGCCAACAACCTTTTGGTCGGCGGCTGAGCACTTCCATTTGGCGCCACCAGGGCTCCTCAGTCTGAGCTTTAGAAGATGCAAAACAGATGCCGGTTGGATAAAAGATGGGTGCTGTGAAAACCCCGCCAGGGAAGAGGGTAAAAGCTGCCCAGAAAATGTCCTCCACAGAATGAAACACAATGCAGAGCCCAGATGGGAATTCCATCCCAGCTTTGGGGTGACGGGTTGTTTATTTTTATTTCTTGGCTCAAACCTTTCATTCCTGTCCCATCTCTTCTTCTCTCCCTCGCTCTTCTCCTGGCAGCCCCAGCAGCCCTTCTACGCACGCACGCACGCACGCACACGCCAGGGCCTGCTGCCACCACCTGAAAATACATCTGACTAGCACAAGCTTAGTCTCCTGCAGGTGGCACAACTTACAATTGATCCCAAACAAACATCTCCCATCGCGCTCTGCCTTTGCTTCGTTTACCCTGCATATGAAGGGCCTACATATGAGTGAGCAGTTCACAGAGACAACAGAAATTAATGCAAAATGATCGACTCTTTCAAGTGTGGCGGGCCTATGCAGTCAGATGTAATTGTCTGCACATGTTGGGCTATGACTTCAGAAACGACTCTCAGCCCACCAGATGACGTCAGAGGCTCAGTGCTGACCCCACCCCCAGCCCCACCGAGTCTGCGCACTGGGATGGCTGACTGCAGAACCGCCAGCCCCGATTCCTACCCAGGCCCCTGGACTTTGCCTAGGTCCCTTCTGGAGAAATGCTTCGATGGTTGTCCTCACACGAGGGCTTTTCCTAGGGGTCCTCTCTCCCACTCAGGCAAAGAGCAAACTTTCTCTGGGAGGGGCGGCGATGGGGGGGTGGGGTGGCGGGAATCTAACGTATATCTAATATGCAGGGAAAGCATAACTGTGTGTGAATACCCAGACACAAACTCAGAGCCATTTCAAGCATGTGAAAGCCATATTTGAGAATGAACGTCCCCACCACGATAGCTTGCGTTTCTATAAACGTGGGCTCTGGCAGATCAGCCATGACTATAGTAATAATCACTAGTATGGTTATAACAGTAAGAATCATCAGTACTTTCCATACAGGATAGTAGAATCCTTCTGAAAACGTGACCAGATTGTCTGGAGGGCATTAAACAAGTGTTCACAGTCCTGTGTCCCTCCCAGACGGGGTCTTCAGGGATATTAGACAAACTCAGAGGGGATCTGCCTGAAAAGGCAATAAAGCAAAGGGGCCTAAAACATCACCAAGACCCACGATAACCTGTGCTTGACGGCCCCCACCCCCGCCCAAGACATCCTTACCAAGTGGATAGCCAAACCATGCTCAGATGTTCCCAGGGCCAGGGCACCCTTGATTTCCAGAGGCCACCCGTCTCTTGCTGAACAGCCCTGACTGTGAGGAAGACCCATAACCGCTGACATGACATCTGGGCCTCTGTGACCCTGTCCTACTTACTTTAGAGCACTTGTGAGGACGCGAATCCTTCCCAGATGACCAACACTCTCATGTACCACCCACCTCTTCCCCTCCTGTAGGTGGTGAATTCCTAATCCTCCCAACCCTTCCTCAAATGGCAAAATGACTGGTCTTCTCTTACTGTCTTCCGGTGTGGCCACGGCCAGGTCTGATGTGGCCAAAGCAAAGTGGAAGGGGCCACCAACTCTTTCACTCTAGCGCAGAGGACAGGCGAGGCTTTCAGTACACGAATACACTGGCCTACCTTTGCTTCCTCCCCACATGTATCGCCACCAGCCAACCATGGCTTTTGGAGCCCTCAGGCGACGTCTACAAGCCCAGGGAATGGCCCCGTGGTCTAAACCACAGCCTCCTTTCCCATGCTGCCCCGGTCCCTGCTTGCTGTCCCCGCTGCTGACCTGGCGGATGGTGGATCTGAAAAATCAAGTTGGATTGCTGTCCCAAATCTACACTTGGTTCCCCGGGCGTCTGTCTGATCGATTTCCCTCTGTGCGACACAGCTTGTCGCTATGAATTTTCATGCTAGTCAGGAGCCGCCAGCGCACCCGAGAACAAGTAGAAGACGGCCCTTCAACACACCCGGCCTCTCAGCTAATTCTTTGGGTTGTTGTCTGTGGACAGACTGGGAAGACATTGTTGGGTGCACGTGTCTGTTTGTAAAGCCCACACAGACTTGGATGCAACGGACTTTGGCCACTGGGCTTCCTCCCCAGGTTCCCAGGCCTCAGCTTGTGGTGACATTGCTCCCACTGTTGTACTAGGTGTCACCTGGTTAGCAGCTCCTCTCAGCTGAGTGCATGTGGCCGCAGGTGCCATGCAAACACTGATTGTGCCTGACAGCCTTAAGACGCCAGCTGCGTGCATGAAGCCTGCCCAGTCGCCACATAATGTGTGTGTGTGTGTGTGTGTGTGTGTGTGTGTGTGTGTGTGTGTGTGTAGAATGCTGCCAATGGCGTGACCGATACAGATGCAGGAAAGTAGGTGACCATACAGCTAAGGCAAGTCCTACTAAGTGGCATTCCAAACCCTGTAGCTTTAAAATAATGGGTAGTGAGAGGATCAAAACAAAGGGGGCGGGGAGCCTGGTTTTCTTACACTGATGCCCTGCGGACTGTACATCTGACTGGCTGCGAGTCCGTCACTGTATCCTCCTGTCTGGCTGATAACATGGCGAAGGGTATCCACCTAAACAGATGAACAACAGAGAAGAAATTAGTCAGGAAGACGTAGGGGGAGGGAGGCCGATCATCTTCACACAGGCTACGTTTGGGGCACGTCAAATCCTTATACCCACACTGGAGAGGCTTTTCCTGGGGAAGGCCCTTTAGCAGGAGGCTGAGCCCTCTCTTTCTGCCCCATCCATGGCCAGATCTGAGGTCAGTAAATAAGACGGTGAAAGGCTAAGAGAAAGCTGGAGTTCCCAACAGGGACTGGGTGAGGATAGGGGGTTTGATGGAGGGAGCAAAGGAATTTTGATTTCTCCCTCTTGGTCTTCCCTATGGATCATCCTAGATGGCCCCTCCTTTGCTGGGTAGCCAATAAAGGTCAAGGTTCGGCTAAGGGGAGCCATCATGGGTGGCCATCTCACAGAGGGAGAAATACACGAATGACGACTCTTGTTTATTTTGAGGGACTTCAGTGAGTGCCAACGACACAGTCAATTGACTGAACTCTGTCCATGACATTGCAATATTTCTAGGCAACATTCCCTACATAAGGGGCTGGGGCTGTTCCAGGCAGGGAATGCCTCATGGAGAATGGAAGACTGGACAGACGTGGCCCAGAGCTTCCTGTTCATTCTCACACTTCACCCTCTCCCATCACCCTTCATGCTGAGCCGGTAGGAAGGCTTCGTGAGGTGGAAGGGAGGGCACGTGGTAATGAAGAGGACTGAGGGTGCAGACCCTAGGACTTCTTGAGTTTTGGCTTCTCAACAAGAACTCATTCTCATGACCAGGAACCCTGATCCCTCGACTCCCAAGGATGACTGAGAAGATGAGTTTTGTCAACCTGGCTGAGTGTTATTAAAGGTTAAACTAAAAGCATCATCTATTTGCCTACTCATCATTCATTCCTTCCTTATTTGGCAAATAAAGCATGTAGGAAACCAGAAAAAAATAAAATAAAAACAAGGGAGCCCTGGAAAGTGAGACAGCAGGCGAAACTCCTTCCTTGTCCTTCCGTGAACAAAGAGCATGCTGGTTCTACTTGCCTGAGACACCCTGGTCACCTCACCTGTCCTCGCTGCTCCTCTCCTGCCTTCCTAGTGTGACTGACAAGCCAGAGCCAAATGCATTCACCAAGTGTGGACGAGATTCCCCACGACAATGGTTGTCTTGGTTTTGGTTGTTGGTAAGGTTTTGTTTCTCTTTTGTTTCTCTCTCTCTCTCTCTCTCTTTTCTTCTCTTTCTCTCTCTAGACAGGAGTGGGAAGTGCCAATAGGATTGAGGGCTCTTGGACTCTAATGTATTCACCTGGCGGCACATTGGCTGGGTCCCTACCTGTGATTGCACGTTGGCTCCAACCTGGGCCCCTTGGTAAGAATCCCCATTGAGTGACTGCACGCTCATGAACAAATCTCCAGAGTTTGACATGTTAAAAGAACTGGAAGAACCTGGAAAGGAAAGAGTGAGGCACCTGAATCACAGAAAGGAAAAGGCTCAACCCCCGCCACTAACAGCCAGGAGGAGGGATGACATGCAGAGCAACCCCCCAAATAAAAACGAAAATGCAAACAACATCCACAGAGTCTGGTTAGTAGCATGAAGAACAGAGCAAGCAATAAAGGGTGCATATTGTCCGTGTTATGTGGAGCCACACCTACGCGCTGTCAATAGGACGTTCCCCTCAGGACGTCAAGCTGAGACCTCGCTCTCTCGCTCTCTTATGAGTCGATGTGGAATGGAGACCATCTCTTCCATTACTCTAGGATTCTAGGGTTGGCAGCCAGGGGACCAGAAGCAGAGGAATGAGAACTGGCCACTAAGGTTCCTGCCCCCACTGGGCTGCTCAGGACTCAATTCTGCTATGGCCACACCTGTCTATCCTCCTGTGACGAGCAACACCTACAAGACGAGTGCACGAAGACAGATCATCCCACGATAAGGCTGCCCTGTGCTACGAGCACACACATAGTCCTGATGTCTAGCCAGAAGGTGGGACCCTTGACAACTGTGCGAAGAGATGAGATTAGCTACTCTTCCAGACCAGTTGCATCATAGAGGACGATGACACAGAATAATGGCCCAGGGATCCGTGTGCATGCATGACTATGAAATGATGCTAAGAATAAGTGGGCTTCAACAGGGCAGTCTATCGGCTTTCACCACCCAGAGAAGGGGCCACAGTGCCTTTAGGTCTATCCGGGCACCAGCCCCTCGCTCACCTACTCTCCACTTAAACACACGGTGGTGGAAAAAGCTCAATATTACCCTGAAGTCGTCATGCAGCTCAGTGCATTAGGAAAGAAAGCTCAACGTGCAAGGTTTGGTTAAAACGTGACGTTAGCCTGGAAAGGAGAGACCTTAGGGACCCAGGTCAGTTCCACTCTACTGTTTCCAGCCCTGTATTTATTGCTCAAATTGCTCTCTTGCCCTCATATTCTGACAGCCATCATCTGTGTGGAATCGCCCAACAGTGATTCATGCCTCAGCTCTGACACTTCCTCTCTTTTCTCCCAAGTTCAGGGTTTCTCCCAAGCTCTCCTAGAGAGCTGTCCTGCTCCCCGTGAAGAGCTGCATCCAAGCACAAGAGAAAGTTTCTTGTTTTGTTTGGGCATGTTTTTGTTTTCTCTCCCTACAAGGATCACCTAACTGGCAACAAACTCTAAATTCTGCCTCTCTGCTTAGCGAGCGATAGACTCCTCCTACGTCAAAACCGACAGTGCTTTGAGGAACCAGATGACGTCCACATCGGGGACTACCCTTGCTTTAGCAGTGCTGTCCATTCCTCTTGGTCCTTTAGCAATGCCCATCCACATGCAAGGGGTGGTTATAATCTTGCTCTGTGGTCCAATCTTTCCCTCTCACCCCTTTCTTGCCCCTCTTTCACAGGGAATAAGTGCTTTTACGGGGAGTGCTGGGGGACATGAGCATTAATTAAAGAAGGAAGACGTTTTCCGTTGCTCTAAGTTCTTTTTCATCCAGAACACATTTCTCAGGCTAGTCTATCTGCAAGGAATTCAAAAAGTTGGTCTTGGCACAATAGACACTGTCATCAGACTGGGTGTGGTTCATACCCAGCTAGTAGGGTGAGAGCTGCAGCCTGAATATCCTCCCATTACCGTAGGGCACATATTTGAAACTGGTTTCCCCACAGGGGCCTGGACCACATTGTTATGTTAAGATATGCAATGTCCAGCAATGGTAAGATCTAATATGCCCCCTCTGCCCATCAAACCCCACCCGCCTTTGCTATCACAGAGATTCAATCTAAATAACCAAAGCCCCTTGGCAGTGTGTTAAAATGTGGGGTCACAAATAGATGTCATCCAGAACCCCAGAGTCACTTCCAAGGACCCACATGGTTTATATACCCTCTCGTCTCCTCTCTGAAAATGCCCAGCTAGAAGCCCAGGTATTTCATTTGTCTCCAAATCAAATGCTATGTAATCAACACACATGCTATATGGTTGGCTGACCATTTATTGAAAATTAGCACACACACTGTGAAATGGGAGAAACCCCCAAAAGCCTGCACTGATGCCAAGGAACATGGTAGCCATGAAACCATGAAGGCACGGATTGCGCCATTTACCAGACAGACACTGCAACTGACACCGATGATTTTAAAAAAAATGTGGGCATAGATAAATTGCAAATACGCCAGGCTGGTTAATGTACACAGAGATAAATATGCGCATACCAATGCGCTTCATGTACAAATGCATTTGGATCAGAGCGGTAATTGCAGGAACACTCCCCTGTGCTCTGAACTGCGCTGTTTCAGCGTTTTCCTGTCTCTGCACACCCATGTACAATGCCACCAGGGTTTCCGGCTCTCCAATAAGTATCTACAGGCAGCGATTGCTCGTGGAAGCGACCAGGTTGCCACTAAGACCACACCAAAGCAGACAGCAATCCTCACAAAAAAATTCAAGTAACGAAGGGTGGCCATGTCCCTCCTCGGGTACGGGAAGTTGGCAAGAGCCTAATGCAGAGAGCTAACCTCCGGGGGGAGCCGGATCCAACAGTGATTGGGGCTCTCTTGGACGTACTACGGATTTCTCCGAGAGCCCAAGCAGCACTACCTGGTGGACCCAGCAAGTCATTCAGCATTCATCTTACCTGCGGATTGTGGTAAAGTAATAAGTCATCACTAGAGGCTTGTCAGTGAAAAGGTTCTGAATTTGACTGGGGAAAGGAGGCAAGCGGCTCATTTAAGCTGCCACCCAGAAATCCTGAGCTCTACCTGCACTCAACTAGACAGCAAGGCAGTCATGGAGCGCCTATGGTTTCTAATGCATTTGCTCAGGCAAACATGATGATCTGAGGTGTGTTAACATCCATTTTTATAACATGCTGCTTGCCCAAAGAATGCATTACTCTGAAAAGTCCTCAGAAGACTTGTATTTGTTTAGGAAGAAAACAGCAATGCCATCATAGTCATTAAAAATAGACCAATAATAATAGGCCCACAAACCTGAAAGCAGAGACTCTCAACCTTGGCACAATGGACATTTTAGGACTGCTAACTCTTTGTGGTGGGGGAAAGTCTCAGTAAGGCAGGATGTTGAGCCACATCCCTGGCCCTAGCCACTACATGCGACTAGAACAACTCCACCCCCAGCACACACCCTGACACACGGAATTGTGAAAACCCAAACTGCCGCCAGACATAGCCAAATGTTGAGAACCACTGACCAGGCGCAAGTATGCATTTTCTATTGCATGGACCATATCTTTTGTTTCTTTTCTTTTTCTATTTCTCGGTGGATTTTTTTTTCTCCTTTAGTCATCCAGGCTCCAAGTAGCTAAGGTGAGTGACCAGCCCCATCCAGCTCCCATGCCATTTGAAGCCGCAAAGGATTGGGTCTGTAGCTAGATGCAAGCTTAGTGAGGCCCCAGGCTTGATCTCCCGTGATCTTTCTTCCCTGGAGCACCCCAAACTATCATTACTCTCCACTCAGGACCAAATGAGAGGGTGAAGGGTTGTCTGGTGCAATGGGGAAGCCCTTGGTAGGTATCATAGTTCTAGAATTCTAATCTCAGGAGGGCGAGTTTCCATTTTACACTTGGAGGAGAGAGGGGAGTTCAAAAGATTGGCCGGAAAATTCCATTACCTTTTCATTTTATTTCGCAACAAACTTTTTAAAGCCCCTTTGTAAAGGGGAGAAATCGAGGGAGAGCAAACACAAGAGGAACAGAGGAGCATCTTTCGCTTGGTTTGACAAACGTGATCCCGACGAGTTAGTTACTAGAATTGGGCCAGTCCACTTCTCTGGATGCCGTATTTCTTCTCTAGTGGTGTGTTCAGTAGAGGCCCTGGGGGGTGCAGGGAATGTGCTTGGCTGCAAACAACCACAAGGTTGGAGGTTCAAGTGCAGCCAACAAAAGTCCTGGCAGGTGACTGCTAGAAGAACTAGCTCCTGTAGCCCCAAGGAAGCACACGTGCCCAGGCTGACATGCCTGGGGCTGCCACGAGTTAGGACTGAATGGACAAACATGGGTTTGTGTAACATATGCAAACTTCCCTTAAAATGGTAGGGTCTGGAGTTTTAATATGTTAGCCTTCCACTGATCCAGAATTTCACTCCTAGTAAGAGTGTCATAAAAATATGCTCAAGGGCTGAAGAGTGCTGGAGGGAGAACTTTCATGGCTAAGCTTGCTGTTGGTTTTCACAGAGACACAGGGTTACAACAATTGTTTCAACAGGTTCCTCGTTTTGCTTTCTTCTTCCCAAATGGGATTTTCTCTCCTTTCTTTTGTCCTCCTGCTCCCTCCGTTTTGCCCAATTACACTGGTGCAAATGGAAGCACACGGCGTGTCTCCGCATGCCTGCGGATCTGTCACAGGCCCTAGTCCCCAGCATCCTTTCTGAATCCTGCTTCAGGTAATGACAGACAAGGCACATATCTACCAATGGGAATATTTAGAAGTGGTCTAAGTACAGGGACATACTGCTCTGCACACAGAATTCTCTAAGGAAGACGTTTACTGGCAAAACATCCTCCTTGCAGTTAAAATGCACTTATATTTCGTAAAGCTTTTCTCTGGGGAGGGAAAAAACAACAACCTTGCTTCAAAAATGAAGATACAAACGTTCCCAGGTCCCAGAACTCTGCGTGACACCTACACACTGGGTATCCCTTATTTAAAACGTTCTGGGTCGGTGGAGCCCTGTGGCATAGTGGGTTAAACACTGGACGGCTAACCGCAGGGCAGCCATCCCAAAGCACCAGCCATTCAGTGGGAGAAAGACGAGGCTGCCATTCTAGCCCATCCTGTGAGGCTGCTCCGAGTCGGAAGGGACTTGATGGCATTGAGTTTAACGGTTTCAATGTGCCGTTCATTCTTTAAGATGAATGAAGAGGTAGCGCACAGTAGAGTCAATGTCCTACATGCAAAGTGTGGGCATTTTCAAGTGCTCACCTTATCAGCAATGATTTGGGTGGTGCAAAGATCAAAAGAGACATGTAGAAAAGTCCATTTATACTATTTCCCGTCCTGATGCTTATCTTGGAAAACCCTATGCTATTGCACACATACGACAGCATTATCTCCTGTCCTGCCTTTAGAAAGAAGCACCACAGAGGGTTCGCCGGCATATTATTTCCAATAATTTGGGCACAACTGGGAAGCTTAGCTCACATTTTCCATGAAAATTTGCTTTGTGCTCAGACTAGGCAGATGAAGTTTAAGCCACCAAAAACATTCCTAAGGAAAAACCCCTGTAATCAGAGACTGACATTTCCCAAGAGCCAACATAATTCTGGAACACAGAGGAGGGGGTAAAACGCTTACTTTCCTTTTTTATAGTGCTTTACGAAAGAATAAAAAGTTCCGGACTCCGTAATGAAGGGAGCCCACAGGGCCCTTCTAAGGACTAGTCATAAATCATCCTAAGCCATCTGCGATGCAGCTATAGCAGGGACAGGAAAAAGTCATTTTGATATCTGTTTTGCATTATGATAATCTGTGCAGGAGTGCTGGGTGTGTTTTAGCTAATGCTGACAAAATCGTCCTTCTTCCAAAGACACAGGTGAAAGTGTCTGCCTGGAAGTGCAGTTCAACTTGTGTGGCTGGGTCTCAAATGCTTACTCATTGACCCGAGGAGGAAGCAGGAAATACTCTGGTTATTGGACCTGTTTGCCTGGATCCTGTGTCAATCATCCGTGAGGGGAAAAGAAGGGGACACATAAATACAACCCCACAAAGCAAACGTGATTTTCACAGTAAGCGACCGGCCGCGCTGTCATGAAAGCTACGTTGTCTTACCATCTCCAGACTGACACAGCCCAGGCCACTCTTCAGGCATGATTCCACTTAAACAACGGAGGGCCGTGACGGCACAGCCCACTGACGCGGAGACCCTTCTGATAACAAATTAGTGCATCCAGAAGCTCACAGAGACGTTAGTGGGTGAAGCCCTGCATGGCTCCCATGAAAAAGCCACCACAAGGCAGAGAGGAGGCGGACGTCAGCAGACGGACAGGTTTTGGAGACGCAGACCTCACATCCCCTCTGAAATCAATTTTAGATCCTACGTAACGGCACGTACTTCAATGTTAAAACCCCTCAAAACGGGACTGGTCTATTTCCTTGGATAGGCAGCCCACAGCCCAAATCAGTATCCCTGGGGATCCTACCAGAACCCGAGACCAAGCACATTTAGAGAAGAAAAACTTTGGTTTGTCCTTACCAACTTAGAAAACATAAGGGGTAAAAATTATAAAACAAAAAAACAAACCACCGTGTACTAACGCCCATATCCTCTAAGAGTAGACTATTTTATGTATTATTATATTTCTTTCACAAGTGAACTTCAGAACGGATGGCACAGGCCCGTCTTAAAATATGTATGTTTCCCAGGACTCTGATATCAGTGTTGCAATGCGTATGCATTAAAATAAATAAATCTGGGACATAGTACATGAAAAATGGAATCTGAACAGTTTACTCACACACAAACAATAATGATAAGTAAAAGATTAAAAACAAAGTAACATGATAAAGATCATGTATGTGTGTGTGTGTGTGTGTGTGTGTGTGTGTGTGCCTGGCTTTGTAGATCAGAATACTCACATGAAATATCTACTGGAAGAATAAAAACCCCACATAGAATGTGTGCTAGCAGGTGACCCAGGCATTAAAGGATGGAAACAGCCAAAAAGACAAGGATGTAAATGTTATATGAAACGGACCTAATGACAGAAGCCCAAGGGACTATCCTGCTTACTTATTGGCCCCTGTGAAAGGAGAATTTAGAAGTCCCCTCATCAATATCCACTACTTTGCTTCTGTCAAATGGATAGGCCACGTCGGTGCAAACCTCCAGACAATCCCATTTTGAAAACATACAACATTGCTCTTTGGAAGTAAAAAGCAAAATCCAAAATGGCAATCAAGAACAACAAAAAAGAGAGCAATTAAATACAGAAATCAACCAACCAAAAACCCAACGAATTAAAAGAAAACCCCAATGTAGGAAAATTAAGTATAAAAATGAGGCACAATCCCCCCAAATCAAAGTAAAAACTAACCAGCTGAGTTGGGAGTTGAGGGTGAGTTAGCTTGGCTTCCATGGGCTGACACATTGGTAGCAGTGACAGCCGTTTTGGCAGCATAAATATTGGCTTCCTCTTGGAATTTACCTATGTTCTTCTTGTACCGGATTCGCTTATTTCCAAACCAGTTTGATACCTAGAGAAGTTTAAGAGAAGATGAGAATGTTAATAGGTCACACCTTCACAAATTTTGCGGCAGAAAGTCTTATAGGGAGGCTAATGACATAGGGTACTACATCTCATCCTACGTATGACTCCATAAAATCATTAAAAAGCTTTGAATCAAGAGCTTTAAGCGCAATGACTGCACAAAATGATACTATCCTGTTCAACATACCCCAACTTTACCCAAACCATTTGATAACAATGTTCCTGTAGCCAGTGTTTCCCAACTTGGATGCTACCAGCGGCGCTGGAATGAGCCAGCATTACTCTATCCTGGAGTATGGGCTACAGTACAAAGATGTTAATTGCTTAGAGGGACACTATTGAGTATTTTTTGTTTGTTTGGTTTTTCCTTAAAAGGGACAATAGTCCAAATAAATTTGGGAAGGTACAATTTAATTGAAACACAAAGGTAAATAAATACACACCGCTGTTGAGACAATTCCAACTCATAGCTCCCCTCCAGGGAAGGGTTTTAAAGGCTGTAAACTTTAGGGAGCATACTGTCTCAACTCACTTTCTCATTTGAACAAGAGCTCTCTTAATTTCAAGAATTAAATTTGCTTAGTTCCTTTGTGTATAGCTCTAAAATAAGCAACGTTTTAGGGGGAAAAAAGGCCTGTCACTTAGTAATGCCAACTTGGGCATTGGGTAAGGAAAATACATACAAATACATGCATACAAATGAATAAGCCACACCGATTTCTATCAACACATAATGTAATGAGTTAATTACAAACTTTTAGAAGTACAATACCTTTAATATGGGCTTAAACTCTAAGCACCTTGTACAAAGCTTGTGTACAAGAAAATGGACACACAGGAAAACGGACACACAGCTGATGATTTTTCTGACTCTAAGGCTTTAAAAGTTAAATCCAATAAAAAAAAATCATCTTAATTTACATTTATTTGTTAATTTATTTCCTTAATGTGGCTCATAGCAGGTAGCCTGGCTTGATTCTCTGGGCCCATTTCCTTTATACCAAGACCTCTGCCAACACTACAGGAGGCAGAGTGAAATTCAAGGTTGACCTACCTCCCTCTTGCCCTGGGGAAGAAAGTTTTATGCCCCATATTCCAGATGTGATTCTGAACAAAAATAGTTTGGGATTTATAATAGAAACTTCAGTATACCACAGATTATGTATAATTTATATTCATCCACTAAAATGGCCTGTGGAGAAAATTCTGGCCAAATTACATTTATTTAAAAAAATCATTTTATTGGGGGCTCGTACAACTCTTATCACAATCCATCCATCCATCCATTGTGTCAAGCACATCTGTACATTTGTTGCCATCATCATTCTCAAAACATTTGCTTTCTACTTGAGCCCTTGATATCAGTTCCTCATTTTGTCCCCTCCTTCCCCCGCCCCCCTCCCTCATGAATCCTTGATAATTTATAAATTATTATTTTTTCATATTTTACACTGTCCGACATCTCCCTTCACCCACTTTTCTGCTGTCCATCCCCCAGGGAGGTTGTTATATGTAGATCCTTGTAATCGGTTCCCCCTTTCTATTCCACCTTCCCTCCACCCTCCAGGTATCGCCACTCTCACCACTGGTCCTGAAGGGATCATCTGTCCTGGATTCCCTGTGTTTCCAGTTCCTATCTGTACCAGTGTACATTCTCTGGTCTAGCTGGATTTGTAGGGTAGAATTGGGATCATGATAGTGGGGAGAAGGAAGCATTTAAGAACTAGAGGAAAGTGGTATGTTTCAACGTTGCTACACTGCATTCTGACTGGCTCATCTCCTCCCCATGACCCTTCAGTCAGGGGCTGTCCAGTTGCCTGCAGATGGGTTTTGGGTCTACACTCTGCACTTCCCTTCATTTTCAATGATATGATTTTTTGTTCTTTGATGCCTGATACCTGATCCCTTCGACAGCTCGTGGTCACACAGGCTGGTGTCCTTCTTCCATGTGGGCTTTGTTGCTTCTGAGCTAGATGGCCGCTTGTTTACCTTCAAGCTTTTAAGACCCCAGATGCTATATATTTTGATAGCCAGGCACCATCAGCTTTCTTCACCACATTTACTTATGCACACATTGGTCTTCAGTGATCATATCGGGAAGGTGGGCACCCACTGATATGATTTTTGTTCTTTGATGTCTGATACCTGGTTCCTTCGACACCTCGGGGTTACACAGGCTGGTGTGCTTCTTCCATGTGGGCTTTGATGCTTCTGAACTAGATGGCTGCTTGTTTACTTGCAATCCTTAAGACCCCAGATGCTATATCTTTTGATAGCCGGGCACCATCAGCTTTCTCCACCACATTTGCTTATGCACACATTTATTTTTTCAATGCATTAAGAAAGTTAAAACTTTAGAAAAGGCTGGCCCTCAAAGACTTATCCAGCTCATAATATAACAGCAATGCCATACCTTTGCTCTGTCTGTGTATGTGTTTTATGTGTGTGTATAATCAAGCCCCATCATTGTAATATTAACAAAGGAGAGGAAAATAAAATTTAATAAGTAAACACTTTATTTAAATGTTGGTACCTCCAGGACAACAAAACAGAGTTTAACTAGAGAAGGAAGACGCTCTAGAGTGCACTTCTGGGTAAGGTAAGGACCACTGTATACCTAAACTCACGATTCTCTAGATATCATGCTGACTATACTAGCTGTGGTTTTTAAGTTCTTTATCAGCTTGGCTGGATTAGGGTTCTTAGTGAATCCCCAGGATTCCACCTGACACAGTGCAATCAATCTCATGATGGGGTCCGCTGTGAGTAGCTGAGACACTGTCAGATTAGGGTGAAGCACAATTGAAGGGACGTTCCCCAAAGGGCATGGCCCACTCCTACGTAAGTCAATGCCGAGAGAGCTTCTTTGCTCCTTGCTGTTTTGGATTCTTCATCTGGCTCAGTGGCTCTCAACCTTCCTAATGCCTTTCATACAGTTCCTCATGGTGTGGTGACCCCCCAACCCTAAAATTATTTTCGTTCCTACTTCCTAACTATAATTCTGCTACTGTTATAAATCATAATGTAAATATTTGATATGCAAGATGTATTTTCATTGTTACAAATGGAACAGAATTAAAGCATGGTGATTAATCAGAAAAACAATAGGTAATTATATATTGAGAAATATTTATTTCTAATTACAAATAAATGAAATTTTGTCTTGAAGCATGGTGTACCATGGGTAACAGTCTTCACACTGGGTACTTGTATGTGGGCATATATGCATGTGGGCGGAACTGCCTGGAGACATAGAGGATCAGTGTCGCGGCTCCTGAGACCATCTAGTTTTCTAATTGTCTTAGGCGACCCCAGTGAAAGGGTCGTTCGACCCCCAAAGGGGTCGAAAACCATAGGTTGAGAACCGCTGATCTAGCTCATCTGATTCTGGTCCTAGGGACCTGAGCCAATGGCCCGCCATATTGCTTGCTGACCTAGTGAACCACCACAGCCTAACATCTGACCTGCCAATCTTGGACTCATCCACCATCCATGAACCATGGTCTCCCAGCTTCATCTTTCTGCTTCATCACTATCATTCATCTGTATCATCATCAGCCTCAGCAGCGTCACAAAGGAAAAGTTTCTAGTTAAGTCCAATCCATGGACTTAAAACCAAACTGGACTTAACCATTTCTACAACTGTGTGAGCCACTTCCTTGATATAAATGTCTTTATATCTATCTATCTATCTATCTATCTATCTATCTATCTATCTATCTATCTACCTACCTACCTATCTATCTACCTATCTATCTAATCACCTGTCTAGCTATCCTGGTTTTGCTTCTCAAGAGAACCAAGCCTAACGCACTAACCAATTATAAGTATGACTGGTTTTTTATTTATAAATGGAATAGGAAGAAGGGAAAAAAGGCAGGGAGATTTTTCTGTGGCAACTGGATGAGCTGTAAGAAAGAAAATAGATAAAAGTAATTTGGGAGGTCTTTTGAATAAGAAAAGAAATGTCTGGGGTCTAATTAAAGCAGCTACCCATGAGAAAATGAGAAGGGAGGGGAGAGAGGGCCGTACTGTAGGAGTGACTCCCTGCTACGTGAGAGGAAGAGAGCTGGTCAGGAAGAAGGGAGGTAAGTTCAGTCTTTTCTACATGGCCCACTGGTGATAATCATATGTTCTTGACAGTGGACGGAAGTGTTTCCCTAAGGTCCCTCGCATGCAGAGATTATGTGCTAAGGTCTACTATGTGGTTGGCACTGGATGCACACAGATGGCAAAGTCTGAGGTAAGAAGGAGGAGTCATAAATTTTGTGACTAGAATTTGATTCACATTTTTGAACATATTACATTTAAAGAGCCCATGAGCAGAGTCGTAGCAAAGTCCAGTAGCTAATGAGATATGAATTTGCTGTTCAGCGAGAATATCATCTGGATCTACAAACAGAGATCTCTTTGCAGTTGGGACAATGACAAGATTGCAGTTGACCTTTGAACATGCATTTGAAAGGCACATGCCAACTTAAAACCAAAGGTTTTTTCCCCCGTTGTGATTTCGGTGGGCTCAAGTATTGTAAGTGCAAACAGACTGTGCAGACATGATTGAGTCTCACACAAGATTCTAAGCAGATACAAGCAAGCCCTGAGCTCACCGAAGCAGTCACAACATGGAAAAAAATCCTGGTGTCTGGACTTGTGCAGTTCAAATCCACGAGACCAATGGTGTCCAAGGTAAGGGTGTATGGAGAGCTAGTTAATAAACAATTCCCTGGGCCTCCCACCCACCGTCTCCCCTTCCCCAACCCTCCCACCCCTGATTCTGATTCAGGATTTTCAGGGCCATAGTGAGGCGTAAACACATCCCTTTCTTCTCAGCGCCCAGGAGGCCACTGCTGCTATCTGTACATCAGACTTGGAGTGACACTGGCACAGAGGAAGGGCTCTTCAAGGATCATGGGAGATGATGGTGTCAACAGAGGGATTTCAATATTTAAGAGCATTTTTGTTTTGTGTCAGGAGAGGAATCAATGG